AATGCCTGCCCAAAAAAATACATAAATAAATGGCTTTAAAGGCGAATTACACAAAATTTGAAAACTAGATGAAGATTTAAAAGCACATCTATTTATCTCTTCCCACCTGAAGACCTCTTTCAGCTGTTTGACCTTATTATCAGGATACCTCTTGGCACTGGAGTCATCCAGAAAAGCTCGAGCATAAGCGAGCGGTCCTGCATTTACCTGAGGGATGTTACAGCAGCCGTGTTAACTTTTATTTTGTTTTTAAAGTTTGGGTTAACAAAATTAGAAAATCATTTAGAGCAGCCACCTGGACGCTGATGCTGCCCTGCAGTTTGAGCTGCAGCCGTATCATGTCCACCTCACTGGAGGAGCAGAGCTGTTTGATCTCCGCCACCTTCTTGCTCATCTCATCGATGGCGACCTCGATGGGGCTCAGGTCCGTGTGGTGTTGGTACATCACCGCAATACGTTTCTTCACGTAGGGGAAACAGTGCGTTGCTGGGGGACAGAAACACAATAAAGATTTATTTTTTGGCTTTTTCTGCCTTTAAAGGAGAGATAGGACAGTGGATAGAATCGGAAACCAGGGAGAGAGAGAGTGGGGAATGACATGCGGGAAAGGAGCCACAGGCTGGATTAGAAGCCGGGCCGCCCGCTTGGAAGACTAAAGCCTCCATACATGGAATGCACGCACTAACCACTGCACCACCAGCACCCCCAGAAACACAATAAAGGGGGGGGGGGGGGTGTCAGTCAACAGCTCAACTGGATCATCCTGCATGTTGTTTTACAGCACATACGTGTAGGAGACATGCTTTGAAAAATCACACATAATAAAGATAATCAGACAAGGTTGAACTTTTGGATCTTTTGCACCATAAAACAATAAAAGTCTGATTTATGATTAGGAGCTCCTTGACAAACAGCTGAACGTTCAGGATCTAATCTAGATCTCCCGGACCTTTCTGCTGAATCATGTGAAGCCTCGACCACAGATACACACCTGGAAGACTTCCACATGGTGTGTCCTTAAGAAGTCAAGTGTGTCTACAGACAACAGGAGGTTGGTCTGGACTGACTGGTACCAGGATTGGAAATGCAGAACTGGTATCAGGGAATACACCAGTCTGTGCACTGATCCAATATCATTACCTCTTTGAAGATCAACTTTTTCAACCCAGATTAAAATCCTCTATTCCGCTCTAGCTGTTTTTTCAATGGAAAAAAAATGGAATGGAATTCAGTATTTGGCCACTACACATAATAAGGAACAGACAGAGGCGCTGCTTGTCAACAGGCAAGGCAGGCAACTGCTTGGGGGCCCCAGCAGACTCTGGAATCACCACGGAGTAGAGAGTATTGTAGCATCTCTATTATGATACTAAATATAGAAATATATATATATACTAAAATATTAAATACTCCTTTTTCCATTTCCCATCTGCACAGCGGTCCCAAGAGTCAGCCTCTAGTTGGACACTTTAATGATAACCTCAATTATTTAAATTTAAATCGCACCTTTGATGTTTGCACTGACTGTTATTTAATGTATGTTTTTTGATAATTTTATTATTTTTAAACATTGCTAAAAAATGTTGATTCATCTAGGGGTATTCTTTAAATCTTTTTTTCAGGTCAATATATATGTATGGGAGGAGGAGCGTCAAATGTTTCATGTCATGTACGCGTTGTAATCTGCTACTGGATGCTTTGAATTTCCCTCGGGATCAATAAAGTATCTATGGTATCTATTATGGTCCATATGATGAGAGGAGGGAAAGTGTGGCAAATGTGAGGCAGAGCATACTTTATTTACATGTAGGTTTAATTACACACCACAGTTGTATATGGGTAACCAATCACACCACAGTTAACTAGTAATGAGGATAATGACTCAATTTAAGAGTACTGCATTACTGAACAGCTCGAGTACCCCATGAAGAGCTTATCTCAGTTCCAGCCTTCAGTATACATCTTGACTTACTGGTTAGTATAGTCCTGCGTTTGCACTGCTCCTCCACTCCGCCCTGTTTTTTGCCCGATATGGTGAAAGGCATCTCAAACACAAATCGTCGGATGTTGTGGCTCTTCTCGAAGTCTGTCTTCCTGTCCACCAGCTCCTTCTCCTCCAGGTAAGGGGTCACATGTGTCACTTGGATGTACGCATACTTAGAGTCCAGGTCTTTGGGGTTAATCTGCAGAGAATGCATGCCATTACAAAAGTAATCAGTGCTAAATTAGTAAATCTGAAAAAAAAAGAATCGGGTCTCCTCACAAAGTAAATATCAACCTTTGTCTTACCCTTCCAGAGTCCTGGATCATCTTCACGTTCTCCTGTCCAAACTTGTCAGAGTACAGCTTCAGGAGCCTCTGCGATACCTCCGACAGAGGGGTGAATTTGGGTTCTTTGTAGATGTACTCCTTCCCATCTTCATCTTCAAAGAAACCCTAAAAAAAAGCACAGCACATGCTGAGAGTTTGTATTTATGTTATCAAGAAAGATATAAAGAAGAAAACAGTGCAAAACTAAATCATACATGGGCTGTGAGTGGGCGTCATTTTAACATTTTGTTAAACTAAAACGATCAAACACTCTTTAAGTCTGTGGTTTGGAAAACTCCACAAACACACGGCTGTCTATCTAATGTCCAAACACAGATTCAGGGAAAATCAAAAACATTGCAAGACATCAACTAGTGTCAGTCCAATGATGTGAGAGAGGCCAAAGCTGGGGGTACAGATTTAACCCAGTCAGTGTGGGAGCCCTTAAGATTAGTTATGTGTTTACATGTTAATATAAAAGAAGTCCCACAAACAGAACAGTGAAGGCATGCATTTACCCAGTAAGAGATGAACTCTGCTAATCCTGCTTATAGGGCTTCCTAGTATTATTAACAACACTGAGCTGAAGTCACGCAGGAGTTAAAGAGCTAAAAGATAAGCAAAGCATGTGAAGTAGAACTACACAGCAGAGGAGCACAACACAGCCTAACACAACACTGCAGTCCGACTGCTATGTGGGCTTTCATGTGGATTTACCTCAGCTTCTGTGTCAGTAAACTGGTACTGCTACAAGTGTGTGGACAGCAGAAAATAATGTTATTCCACAAGAGCTACTGAAATACTAAAAATATACTCAACACACTTTTATTCAGACTGCTTCATCACCAGTGAAACGATAATTTCAAGAGAGACAGAGATGTGAAGATCTCAATCAAAACACACAGAGGTAAGCACACCCGTCATCATTAGTTATAAAACGTCACAAAATACCACACAATTTAGTGTCACTACTTCAATCAAACAAACCCAGATTTTGAACAAAAAAGTATCAGCACTGAAATGAGTAGAAGAGCACCATGCACCAACGCTTCAGAGACAGAAAGCAGCAGTGGTTACTGTCACTTTAAGCAGCAAAACTATGATTGACAAATGGATTACAGCAGCACTGAAACACAAAGGCTGCTCAGAGAGGCTAGCAAGATCTATGCCAAACTTACCGCTGCCTTCAAAAAGGATAAAGAGCAGAAGAGGGTGTTAGTCATAAAATGCCACAGCATGTGGTCATGCTTTTAAAACTATAAAAATGTCCACAGCCATCTTTCTCAATGTGAATTACTGTGCAACACCAGCAAAAAAAAAATCATAACTGCGCTCTTTTTAGACTGTACATTTTGAAGTAGTGTTATAGGTAGTGTAGAAAAAACATCATCGAGGTCTGCATAAAATTGAAACTAAAAAAACATCACTGTTGGGTTAAACTCACCTGGCCAAAGAAAGCCACTCTGAAGTAGGTACCAAGCAGTCTCTTTCCTGAGTGCATGACCTCTGTCACTTTGCTGTACGCTCGATGCAGCGTGTCATACAGGTGGGCCAGTTTCTGAGCAAAGTGATAAGAAATCATATCAGAATTCCGATGACGGAAGGACAAAGTATGTAATTTGTGGGGCTTGTTGTGGGGGAAATGAAATTCAAAATAAGAGCAGTATGAATACCTCAAAATCCCTGCGCTTCTCATAAATTGGGATTATGAGCTTGTAGATATCAGAGATGAGCTCATAACGCTCGGCTTTCCACAGACCATCTGCACACTCCTCCAAAAGCTCCATCAGACATCCTGAGGGGGCAAGACAAGACAAGGGATGCTCAATATTTTTTGGGGATGATTTATGCCGACTCAATTATGACCTAATGTGATCATTTTAAGAAACTGAAGGAAAAATAACACGTATAAATATACTGGTGAGAAACTAACTTACAGGCAGCAACAAAACTTTAATCTTAAAATATATTAAAAACAATGCTGCATTAAGACACAGAAAATTAAATCTTTCCGTTATCCAAAAACCTGAGGAGTGGTCATGATGCTGGGGAAATCCAATGTATGATGACATTTTTGTGCAATTACACAAAATGTATAGATTTTTTATTTGTTTTCCAAATCATGACTGAAACTGCTTCAGCCTTAGCACATGCAAGAGATTATCTCTAAAGTATTTCTGATGTAGAATTTAAAACTCTTAAATGTCCTGTTATAAAATGCTGTGGTCAGCAGTAATACATACTTCATTGAAATGGACGTCCTGCATGCCGACGTCCTCCATCATTGCTGCCTCTTCATCTATGTTTGGAGTCACAACACGGAAGGCAGAGCAGCCCTGCTTGATCATCGCTGAACACAGAACAAAAGATTCAAGATTTTTATTTGTCACATGCTCAACAGATGTGCAGTGAAATGTAATGACTGTTCCGCAAGGCCATGCAATAAACATTCAAATTACTAATACACATAAATACAGTAATATAGAATATAATGTAAAATTAAAAAAAGAAATATTTGAATATACAAAATATTGAATAATGTAAACAGTGTAAAGTGTCCAGGGTGTGTAAGAAGACAATATTTTAACAATCGGCCCAATTTGTACATCATAGCCAACGCAGAATGTACACAATAAGGCTTCTGTGTAACATTCAGCTGGAGAGAGATTATAGAAGCACCTTTTCTTCGCAGGTATTCCGCCACAAGTGCTGCAACGTGCACGTAACACATGGCCGCCTGTAAACGACAACAAGCCAGGTAAGCAAGATGATGCTGATGGTAATCATTATTTCACAGGACAGTATTGAAAACAATAAACCTGACCAATGTGAGAAGAAGCCAGTGTTTAATATCTGATTCTTTAAACAGACGATCAACAGATACAGACCTGAGGTGAGTTCATGTTAAACTGTGCAACATCAATCTAAAGCACAACATATTCAGCTTCACACACAGACCGGTCTCTCCTCACACACCTCTGACAGGTCTCCGTTCTTCACGTGGATGCGGGCCATGCTGTCTAGCCAGGTCTTGCGTAGCTCAGGCGTGCTGGCGTAGGACTTGGCGAGGCTGTACTGAAGGTCCACCAGCATCTCGGGATCTCTCTCGTGCTCCTTCATCTGAGCCGTGGCCATCAACACTGTTCTGATGCGTTTGGTCAGGTCTTTCACGTCTGAGGGGAAGGCTGTGTTCTGTAACCGAGGGTGCAGGAAAGAGAACAGTCGGCTGTGTCATTCATAGTTGGGACATATGTATTAAACTGATGTACCAGAAGATAATTATGCACAGAAATGAATTCCTGACCTTGATAGTTTTGTCACTATTGGCACAGTTGTTTATTATGGAGAGAGACTGCTGGAAGCGGGTACTTCCAATACCGATGACATCAGCTATTAACTGACTGACAGCAATCACCACCTGAAAAAATGAATCATTCAATAATGTTTAATCCTCATGTATTATTTAAGATCCCCAAAGAAAGTCCACTGCTGTGTGTAAATATAGCAATAATCACAATAATCACAAATTAAACCAATTCCATCCTGTCAAATATTCTCGTTCTTTAGGTTCTCAAGGCCCACCGGTGTAAATAATGTTAAAATAAAAACTTTGGAGACCGCTGAGATGCACAGAAGGTCTCTTTCACCTGTAAGTGTAATCTTATCTACAATCATACATATATTGTGTTCATGTGCATTTCCCTCTCTTCTTGCAGGCTCTGGGTTTTCCTGGTGATGACCTCACTGCTGTTCCCTACTCTCGCTGTGATCCACATGTTCAGAACCTTACACAGACTCAAAAACATGTAAACATCCAGGTCCAGATGTTTAGGCCATACCTGATTGATTACTATGAGGAAAAACTCTGCCTTATTTTTCTTAAGTTTTTATGACATTTTACACCCATCTTGTTGTGGAATGGACATGAAAAGATACTAACAAAAACATGTGTTTTTCCACTTTGTTTTTATGTTGGAGAAGAGTCAGAATCAGTTTTTAAAAAATGTTTTTGCCCAGCAGAAAAAATATGGGTCTGAAGGGGTTAAGATATATTAAAAACAATGCTGCATTAAGTCAGAGAAAATGAAAAGACTGGATTATTATTCTCTCGTTTTCCAAAAACCTGAGGAGTGGTCATGATGCTGGGGAAATCCAACGTATGATGACATTTTTGTGCAATTACACAAAATGTATTGTTTTTTTTGAGTGTAAATAATGTTGACATAAAAACTTTGGTGACCGCAGAGATCTACAGAAGGTCTCTCTCACCTGTAAGTGTGTCCGGACGAATGACTTGCGACCCGTGTAGTCAAAGTTGCTCTTCATGAGGAAGTAGAGCAGATGGGCTGCATCGCTGCGGATGGAGCTCAGCTTTGAGTTGCAACACTTCAAGATCTCGTAGCAGAAGCAGCACACATATCGGCACGGCCTTCAAAGAACGTGCAGGGGAACTAAAGGGCAAAGAGGACAAAATATACCATCAGCATGGGTGAACTCTTAAAGTAACAAAGGCAATTTTGTTCAAGGGACTTGAACCTCGCACCTTGTAGATGAATGTGCGCAGCGTAGCGAAGACCTGTTTGAGGGCCGTCTCTGACTGATTAATGCGCAGAAAGCAGAGGTGGACTTCAAACACCTTCTTCATTAGAGGACTGTGGCCGTGGTCAGAGCAAAGCTGGGTCTGTGAAGAAACAAAGTGTCATCTCAGGAACTCATTACAAAAAGAAGAAACTAATTCTGAAGCTAAAATAAAGCCTGACATAATCATTGCATCAAGTACTACAGCATTGTTGCTACCTTGAATCCCATGATGAAGATGCTCAGTGTGTCCAGGACAGTCAGGCACACTTCAGTGGCGATGTTAGCCTCCAGCAGTGACTGATTCAACACGTCTGCATCCGAGTGACTGTAAGCTAATGAGGACAAGACAGAAAGCTGTAACTGTTTCACTACTATCAGTGCAACTTGAAATAAATAATCTGCTGAATCATGTCACATCAACAGTCTCCAAATATGAAATCTTGTGAAAGGCAAAGCTGTTTGATGAATGGAAGATGGATCGTTTCATTGATTAAGTTTCATTCCAAACGTGGAGAAAAGAAGCTCTTCCTAATGTGTAACCGATATCTTTTATCAAATGAACAGTGAAAATAGTGAAATTTGTGTTTGTAGCTTGTGTTAATAAATGCCACAATATGAATTTAATTTTGTATGTGTATATATACAAAGTCAAGCAGCATTTTTCTTGAACACACAGGTAGTCATTTGGAATGAAACACATCATATTTGTGATGGATGGCTTCTTCAGAGAATGAAATGTAAAGATGTCACAGCAGATGAGTTAGCCGGATGGATCTGAAGACTTTAGAAAGCTAATGTTCAGGCATGCTCGTCATTCAACCAAATGAAGTAGTCTGCACACTGCCTGCCCAACCTGATACACTCTTACCATGTTCTACAGATATTCCAAGAATACTTGAAATCTTTCTTACACTGAAAACACAAAGAAACTGTATTAAAGGAATGCCATTCAACAGACTGAGCACATAGCCCTCTAGGTAAAACAGATACGACGCTTCACACAGCCACAGCTGTGTGCCCATGACTTCTGAGGCAGGCTGGGTGTACATAGGGAGTGAGAAAGAGGGTGATGTTGATGAAAAGCTTGAGGAGTAAGACTACACAGGATGAGGCGGAGGGCATATATAGGCTCCTCTGGGAGAGGACGTTTGATGAAGAGTACAGCATGGGGCACTTACTGTGGTTAAATGTGTGTGAGTTATCCAGGCTGCTGAGCTGCTGTAAGCGGGCATGCATCATTCCCGCCCTGTTACGGGACACAGGCAGAGTCTGAGACTTCCGCTCATGTGCTACGGGTCCTGCCCCATCCTGGTTCCTGATGAGGAAACAGGACAATGTTAGATGAATGGCTGCCTAGTAGCATAGCACAAGTTAGTGGAGCAGGTTAGGCTGCATTGTTCTTTTTGTCCTGAGGTTTGATGATCTTTGGAGCTAAAATCAAAACAGCCTGATCCTGTTCAATACAGAATTTTAGGAAACATGATGCAAATTGGACGACCTTTACGACCTAAAGATGTGAGATTAATATTTGCTTGCATGCAGTTAAATTCAAAAATCAAAGCAGCAAAAAACAGCAATCAAGCACTGAAGTAAAATGAATGCCATGCGTCTTATAATGAAAGTAAGAGATGATTAACATGAATGGATTTAGATCCAGAAGGTGTCATCATAGCACTGCAACTTTTACATGGTGAGTCGATATCATGCATTGAGTTAAAAAAAAAAAAGCCAGGTTCATATTAAGTCTTACCCAGGCAGGACAGGGCAGGAGCCAGCTTTTATTTCAGTACGTTAAACTTGCCAGCATTTAAGTGAATAAAGATAGAAACAGTGATGGGAGGTTAAAATGGAAGAAACACCCAAAGCCCTCAGGGAGTCAAGACCAGGTCAGCCTCCAAATAGTGAAGGAAGTACAGCATGTGTGTTTGTATAGATTTTAATTATTTTTCAAATAATGTGCTCAGAACACAGTCACATGCCTCACTTCTTATTAGCGACTACATTTTAGACTTAGTGAACGAAAAGTAAAGCAGCAAGTAGCCACGACATTGTCACAGTTTGTTGGTGAGTTCAATCAGTTATAAAATACTACAGGTCATTTATTTTGTCCCCTCAAAGATCAAGTGGCTACCCACTAGAACAGTGATTCCCAAACAAGGGGACTTTATATTTTTGCAGTGCCAGGGAGAATGGGCAAATAATGTTTTTCATTTTCACCCAGTTTAAAATGTGTTGGGGCGCTGATGGACTAGCGGTTAGGGTGTCCCCATGGACATGGCATGGAGGTCTATTCAGGCCTTAGAGGGTCACACTTATCTCCTCTCTTTCTCCTATTCTTGATAACCCAGACTTCCTGCCAGGCTCTTTTGATCAGGGCTTTAAAGTACGGTTTAGCAAATTAAGCTGGGGAATTTATTTACTGGTACATTTCAGCAGCTACAGCAGTGATATAAGCTGCAGAAAGAGGGATTCTTTAGATTTTTGCAAATCATACATGTCATCACCAAAGACACTACGGGCAGCTGTGGCTCAGTTGGTACACTTGGTACAGTCTGGTACAGGGATTCGATCCCCAGCTCCTGCAGCTGCATGTCTGATGTGTCCGTGGGCAAGACACTTAAGCCCAAGTTGCTTCCACTGCTTTGTCAGCGGTGAATGCATGTGAATGGGATTAGTTACTTCTGATGGTCACTTAACACAGCAGCCTCTACCATCAGTGTGTGAATATGTAGGTGTAACCTGCGGTGTAAAAGCACTTTGAGATGTCAGAAGACTAGAAAAGCGCCAAACAAGGTCAAGTCCATTTACCATCTACTACTATTGATGAGTAATAATGTCATCTCTGAAGAAAAGGTCCTGTCTTTAAATGTGTCTAAGAAACAAATCAGTGTATTTTATAATGCCCTATATCTGATACAAAATAGATGCTAATGTATCTCCACTTCGCTGTGAGTGCAATTCCAAAAGTGGTAATTATGTTCCCTGTTTCTGTCAGCTGAGTTGTAAAGATACTGGTCTGACATTGTGTATGAATTATCTGTAACTTTTGGTGTTCATATTGACTTAAACACGATGTGCCTCATCCTTCCTTCCTATTGAGTATACTCCTCTGTAGACCACTTGCATAGGGTGTGGGACCTACTGTATTACCCCCCATATATTGCCATCTTAATTATTATCTGGATTTCCAAAGAGGTCTTAGCGTCTCCTTTTCCTCTCTTATTGTAATACCTACCGTCCTCTAACCTCCTCATCTGTTTATATACCTTGTTGATGCTGTCTTCCTGTGAAGTGGTGGTTGGAATAATAGGGGACTTACAGTAGAATGGGTGTATGGCCATGTGTCATTTTTTGTTCTATTTTTATCCCTTCATTTTTGTGAATACTTATATATATATATATATATATATATATGTCATTTAATATCTATGTGGTGTGTTCCTTGTTTTCTTCTTACTTGTACTGAAAAACTTTAATAAACATATATGGTAGAAAAAAGGTCAAAGTTGGGAATCACTGTACTCAGATCTTTAAGGACTTCATCAAGAATTGAGCTCCTTCCCTGTTTAAGTCAAAACATTTTAAAGAAAGGTGTTCATGCATAGAACAACATTACCTTGCGATGTATCTCTTCCCCATGTATCTGAACTGATGCAGGCACACTCTAAGAGGAAATAAAATTCAAAATCAGCCAAAAGAAATGAAAAAGTTTACATTTAATTTCAAGGTTGTCATCAAAGCCATCAAAGATATCTTACTCGACAAGAGTGAAGAAGTCCATTAACTCAGCAGACGAAGCCTTGTTCCAGTATGTGAACAGAGCGTCTGGAAGAGACAGAGATGGATGTTTTCTTTAGGTTCAAACGAGCTCAGACCAGAATCAGACAGACAGTAAGTTAGAGAGTAAAGATATTCAGACAGAGCCACCATGACGCAAAGAGAGATGAAGTGAGATTTTACCCTCAGACATGCTTTTGAGCACATGCAAGAAGCACATGAGAAGACTCTTGATCTCTGCCTGGTCCAGTTTATCACATCGTAGGAGGGTGCTGCCCAGTGTTGAAGCAGGCTGGTTCTGAGGGAGATAAAGAATCCAGTCAGGGAACAAACACACACATTGTCATGTTTTTAGCTTCTCTTAATGCCTCAAGTTTATATTTGATCATTAAGTAGGTAATCATTCAATTTAGAGCTCAAGTCTTGGTTTATGTTCTGGACACTAAACTGCATTAAAAAAAACATAATTTAAGAGGAGTTAATATGTGATCAAATAAGACTTTTCAGAAGCCTGTGGTTGACTATTCACTCAGCTGTTGCAGGGCTAAATGCACGGTGGAAAACAATGACCATTTCTCCCAGCTGAGGAGAGAGCAGGGAGAAAACAGAAGCAAAGCAGTGGAGCAACAGCTCTACCACAGCAAGCAGGGTTGGCGGTATACCAAGCACGTTCCTTTGCCAGCAGTTAGTCTAGACCATGAGACTGGCTGGGGATGACTTAGTGGAAAGCATGAGGCTACGACTTTGGCTTCTTTAGGGGTGTTTTTGAGCGTGGGATACCTCAGGGCTAAAGTTCACTTTCTTTCATTTTTGTTGTTGTCCTTTTCCCTTTGTGCTTTTAAATAAATCACAATAACAACTGCCTAACATCACATCTTCAACTCAAACCCACAAGAACACAGAAAGTCAAATCTAGTATTCATGTGTAATGGACTTCTCCTCAGATTTTTTTTATCTATCAGTAAAAACAGAAAATAAACGCTGCACACGTCAGAGGAGCTGCACAGTGAAAGATTCCTTTAAGCATGCAAGCCTATGAACATCTGGAAAAGTAGAAACCCTGTGAGGCCCTGTGGTGCAGCAGCGCGGCTTTAGGGCACCAGAGGAGAAACAGGCCGATAGCCTGAGAATCATCTGGCAAAAGAAAGGGCTTAGCACACGAGGACACTCTCACACACACTCTAACACTCCCAGGTGGGACACTCCAAGGAGGGGAGGGTGACTGTGTGAAGGTAGTACTTGAAGTGAAATGCTGTGCTGCAGGGTGCTCTCAGGCACCCAGGGGGCAGAGAGCAGGGAGAAGTCCATGGTGACGCGCTTTGTGCGCACAGAGAGCACGGTCTCCTCAGTGTCCATACAGAAGCGCGGGACATTGGCAGAGTGTCTCCGGACAAACTTCTCCAGCAGCCATGGTCAGCCGTTCAGGTAAGGTAAGGGAGTTAATGGTACAAGTTAAAAAGGGGCGACTGTCTTTTGACCTTTTGTCACAACAAGGGGACCTCTGATATCTTTGAGGATCTTACATAACACAGAAAGTCTTCATATGATTTATAATAAATGCTGTATGAAATGACTTCACAGTTGGCCTAGTCACAGCTCCACCCTATCAGATCTGACTGTCGCCAGGAGCAGGGAATAAGCTA